GGAGGCGGGGGTGGAAGGGTGGGGAAGAGACGGAGAGACGAGAAACGAGTAAAAGGAATGAGGAGGAGGAGGAGGAGGAGGAGGAGGAGGAGGAGGGTGAAGAGGATGAAGAGGATGAAGAGGAGGACGAGTACGCCGAGGAGGAGGAGGAGGAGGAGGAGCAGCAGGAAGGAGCTGGGATGAGGACGAGGAGAAGGTGGATGGAGGAGGAGGAGGCAGAGGAGAAGGAGGAGGAGGAGGATGGTGCTGGGGGAGGAGGACGAGGAGGAGGAGGAGGAGGAGGACGAGGACGAGGAGGATGGTGCTGGGAGGGGAGGAGGACGAGGAGGAGGAGGACGCTGTTTCGGCTGCTGCTTTCGCCTGCGACGGGGAGGAGGGCGCCCTCGGTCAGGGGCCCCTCCAGCTCCGCCGCGCGGGCGCCCGCGCGAGGACTCCCCGGCGACATGCCGTCTCGTGTCTCGCCGAGCGCCAGCGCCACGGAAGGCGCGCGCGCGCGGCGCGCGTCGTCGTCTCCGCCGCGGGCGCGGGAGCGTTGCCCTGGGCCTCCCAGATTGGGGTCCAGGCCTCCAGGCCCCTGGGCCTCCTCCTCCTCCTCCTCCTCCTCCTCCTCCTCCTCCTCCTCCTCCTCCTCCTCCTCCTCTGGGCCGAGCAGATGGGGTCGGAGGATCGCGCCGCATCGCGGCCTCGGCGCCCTCCCGACGGTCGTCGGGAGGGTCTGGCCGCCGGCCGGTTGCTCGACACTCAGGTGCGTAGATATTTCACGGGGGCAGGAAGGCGAGAAGGCAGCAGGAAGAGGAGGAGGAGGCATGATATTCAGAACGCCACAGCACATCGGCTCGAATTCGCGCAACGTCAAAAAAGGAACGACACTGATGAGGGAGGAGGAGGAGGAGGAGGAGCAGGAGCAGGAGCAGGAGCAGGAGCAGGAGCAGGAGCAGGAGCAGGAGCAGGAGCAAGCAGGCAGGCAGGCAGGCAGGCAGCAGGCAGGCAGGCAGGCAGGCAGGAGGAGGAGTAAGACAGGGAGGATGAGGAGGAGAAGGGAGAGGAGGTAAGAGGAGGAGGAGGCAGGAGGAGAAGGAGGAGGTGGAGGAAGAAGGTGGAGAAGGAGGGTACGGAGGCAGTACGAGGGGGTAGAATCAGCAGGAAGCGAGGAGGATAACTAGTATAAACCTAATGCGCATTAACGATGTTGCAATCAACCTTCCCTACAATAATGTGATCCCCATATCCTAAGATGGAGGTATATTTATTTTTTAGACGCCTCCGGACCTCCTCTATCCTTCCCTTCCTCTTCCTCTTCCTTTTCTTCATTATCATATCATTCAGATACTCATACCCAGATCACACACACACATCACGGGGTCCATCACAGACTCACTCTTCTTCACGCAGATTCAGACTCAGCCACATCACCTCCACACTTAGGCTCACTCAGAATCAGACTCACTAAGACTCGGTCGCATCACTTCCTCACTCAGGCTCAGAATCATTTGCTCACACCCACACACACAGGTTGTGAGGACGTCTCAGGCGAGGCGTTGGTTTCAGCACTCCCAGGGGGGCCGCCACGGGCGAACACGCTTCAGAGTCGCACCCAGATCGTGGGGATGTCTCGGGCGGTTTGCTCGTTTCCTGCCCCCAAAATCTTCAGCTTTCGGAGCAGATTGTGAGGATGTCTCAGGCGAGGCGCTGGTTTCAGTGCTCCCACGGGGGGGGGGGGGGGGCGCCAGGGGTGAGCACTCCAGGATTCGTGCCATGATCGTGGGGATGTCTCAGGCGGTTGGCCTGCTTCTGCCCCCCAGCAGTCTTTGCTGTCGGAGCAGGCTGAGGATGGATGTCTTAGGCGTGGCGCCTGTTTAAGCGCTCCCACGGGGAGGCGCCAGGGGTGGGGACACTCCAGCACTCGCGCCCAGATCATGGCCATCATTTTCTTTTTTCGGAGCAGATTGTGAGGATGTCTGAAAGAGCGCTTTCTACCATTACTGGCAGGCCCCCGCCCCAGGTTCGAACTGGGGGAAGGAGGGGTAAAATTCCCCGTCCCTCCGAATCAAGGGGGAGGGGGTGGGGGGGCAGACCCCCCCGAAAAGTGGGTAATCTCGATTTCAAGAAGGGCAGATTCAGAACGCCCCCACCCCCCTGGTTGGGACCTGGGGGGTGGGGGAGGGTTCGGAATCCTCCATGCAGCCCGTCCTCCCGGGTTCGAACCGGTTCGGGGGGTTCGGGCCGGAACCGGGGCTGGGCGGGGGCTGGGATCGGAGCCCGGGCCAGAGCCAGGGCCGGGGCCAGGGCGGGGGCCGGGGCCGGGAGCGGAACCAGGGCGGGCGACGGGGGCGGGACTGGGGACAAGGCCGATTTGGGTTGCTGATGATGATGATGATGATGATGATGATGATGATGATGATGATGATGATGATGATGATGATGGTGATGGTGATGTGATGGTGATGGTGATGGTGATGGTGATGGTGATGGTGATGGTGATGGTGATGGTGATGGTGAT